GAATTCTGAATGTATTGGGGACCCCTCCTTGGGCCTCATTAGGCCTCAAACACAGTAGAGTTCATCCAGAATTGCTGAGGACAGAAGATTCAAAAACAAAATCTATAAGCATCACTGAGGTCTTAATCACAGAAAAATGTGATAAACCATATTGTGAAAAACTTATGCATTGAAGCCAATGGCCATTTTGTGTCTATCTTACTCGAGCAAAAAAACTCTTGGATGTTAAAAGATAGTTGTATTATGTGAAAACCATAGGATTCAACTGTTGTGTTACTCTCTGTGGAGTTGAGAGGGGTCTCCCATTTACACTTAGCAAGGTCCCATTGGTCAATCCCAAATGGTGTCTTGAAGCACAGTTTAACTAAGCGCTGAGTAGCCATGTGCTTTCTCAGTTCAAGGTTGTCTGCCTTCTACAATGTGCAGGGTTAATCAAGCTAACACTTAATTGCAAACATCCCTTGTATGAGGTTAACAAAAGAATGTTGCTATGTCTGATCTAAACGTTTGCATTGTGTTCAACTAAATCGATATCCATAGATAGCAAGTTTTGTTTAAAGACACTTTATTGAGTTTTTAATTTTTTATCTCTTGCTCTAAGGTGCCTTTCTCACCTCCCATTGACTCAGTGATTCTGAACATTCTTAATTTGCAGGTTAAACAAGTCTAATAGGAGGAAATCAGGCACAAAGTGGCTAATTCTCACGTCCATTTGCAAAACAAAACTATAAGGAATGATGAAACCTAAGCAACTAAATTAACGGGTCGCTTAAGAAAATATCATAAATATTACCTTATCTCCCCCAGAAGCTGATATTTTTTTTTGCCTTAAAATGACTTGGTTATGTTTTTGTAAGAGAAACTTAATTTATATAATTATGTGCATTTAAGTGAGCAGTTCTAAAAGTCATGTATGACAATGCAATTGTCTGTTTCCTGAAAACAAATAAATCAGGAATACCATATCCATTTCAAGCTACCATTAAAATGTAATTTCCTTTGCTCTCTTTTACTGAGATTATTTGTTTTAAAGTAAAACATTAAAAAGATGTCTATAAATAGCTAATGTGACTGTTTTTATCTGGAACTAACTGTTTGAGTCTGAACTGACTGGTCCCAGTCAACCGAACTGACTATATACAAATTTTGGTATAAAATATAAAACTATCTTTTTGCAATGTTGCTGAAGAAATAATTGGAAAGAGAGAGATTTGTAAATGTTTTTGAGGGTATTATAAGAAAAATAATTTGATATAAATTTGATTTTTTTTTTTTTTTTAGTTTGACATGTCAAAACTCAGATACCAGTGCATGTGAGCTTTGTGCTAACTGTCATTAAAAAAGTTTGCTAAACAAATGATAAGAAATGGTGACCAGGCAGGTACCCAAATGCTGCAGTCCCTGGCCACTCAGAATAACCATTTTTAGCACCTACTCAGCTCTGTCTTTCCAGGGGAGGGCTCCTGCTCCAAAATGGATTTTTTCCCTCTTCTCTAAAAAATCCCATTCCTTCTATTCCACTAGCAATTTTGCACTATGTGTCCATGATTAATTCCAAGGGAATTATTTTAATGGAGTCTCAGAATGTTAGAACTCTGGAATACAAAGCAACAAAGTCCTAACAGAGACATTTCATACGTTTCAGACAAGAGGAAAATTAATGAGGCAGTATTATCCTGGAGGATAATGTGAGGGGATCACCCAGCATGGTTCTAATGAGATCAGACTGGTATGTGTCGATTCTACCACCTTCTAGAGAGACCAGTGACAACAACACTGTATGAAACAGGCTTGCTTGACCAACTTAAAAGTGTAAGCCACTTCCAAACACTTTTGCAACTACATACGTTAGCAGTACCTCTCAGCACCACCATTTAAAAGCAAAATATACTCACAACGATTATTCTGTCCTAATCATGATAAAAATAAGCTCCCAGACCTTAGAGCAGCCACTTTTGTTAGCCTGGTTTCAACTGCTTTAAGAATCTAGTACAGAAAAAATTGTTTTTTTAAACTTTTTAAATTCTCATTAATTACAATAAGACTTCACCCTCAAGCCTACCTAATTCCAAATCGTTGAGATTTTTACTACATTTCGAAGCAGAAATTTATCAGATACTATGCAAACTATAGGTTTATGCACTGCCTTAAATCACAGCACCACAAACCTGGTGAATGGAAAAAAATTTCCTGCTCAGACAAATAGAAATTCCAAAGATACATTTGTATGATATATTTCTCTTTGCTCATTCACATGAATCATAATTTTTTTACTATTTTAAGTCCTGTACGCTTTAGGATAGACATGGGGGTTCTAGCGTTCCCAAACACTGTCAGGACACCTGCACCTACTTTTTCAACTTTTCACTGATCTGCCCTTTCTCTTATTGTTTGGATGCTCACCTGTCCACTACTTGCTGCTTCTTCCTTCCTTTTTTCTTCGTCCACATCACTGTGACTCCCTTCCCAGAGTTCCGATCCCGGCCCATCCTGTGCCCTCGAGTAAGTAGCTACTCACACCTTCCCTTTGCTATAGCTCAGGGTGCCGCTCGTCCTCATATGAGTCATGAAGACATCATACCACACACACTCAGGTCACAGACGCTTTTGAGCATCTCTGAAGTGCTTCACCTGAGCCCTCTGGGCAATGTTCCAACACTATCTCCAGTTATCAGAGGTCCCACCGCGGCGCCTGGTGGTGGGGAGACCTCTGCCACTCCAGGATGGGAACTCCTTGCCTTTAAAGAGGTCTGTTCAGCTCTAGATCCCAAGCCCCTGGTTGTCCCTGTTGCCTCTCTCCTTCCTCTTATCGGTAACATCTCCCTCTCACTCTTTAACCTCATAAACTGAGTAAGCTTCTCCCATGCTATTAGCAACACTCGAGAACTTAACCTTCCTCTTTGTTTTGCTATACATCTCACTTTCCTTTTATAACCAAACTACTTATAAAATAAATTACATGAGGTTTTCCCATTTCCATAACATCCGTCTGCTAACCAGCACGTGAGAGTCAAACCCACAGTCTACCCAACACCACGGAAAACTGGTCTGAGCTCATCCATGACTTTCTAGAAACAGATTCAATGGACACATTCAGTCAGCATCCCTTTTGGACTTTCTGAGGTAGCTGACACGGCAACTACTTAAAACTGCTTCCCAGTTTGTCTCCTACCTCTCTGGCTCAATTATCTTTATTCACTTTTCCAACCTCCTTGTTTTTCATCACTTAACTGTCAGAGTCCCCACAGATTCTATCATGCCCCACTTCCCTTTGCTCCTCACCTTTCACACTCTCCCCCGGGTGGTCTTATCTATGATCTCAAGTACTAACGCAGAATAAGCCCACCCAATCATATATCTCCTGCCTAGATTTTCCTCCTGAGCATTACCCTGAAATGTCTTCACTTGGGCCCAGAGTCACTTTAAATGCCTCAGACTGAAACTGCTTGAGGGCAGGGACATCTCACTCACATTATAACTTGGGCTTCTTATACCATGCCATGCAGTAGGCACTCAATAATGTCAAATGAATGGAAGTGCCTCGGTCTCCCTGGGCCTATTACTCAGCTTTCAGCAACTTCTAACCTGCAAATTCAGAAGTCTTTCAGTCAAGAAAAAGAACAATCATCAAGCTTCATTTACATTGTCACAGATTTAATCTGTTACTTCTCTCAAAGGTCTTTGTATTTTAAAGGGGTCTGACAAAAAAATTAATTAATGCCAAATAACTGGTAATCATGTTTCTACAGGACTTAAAATAGCAGCCCCTCTCTCAACCCCACTGAGGCCTCAGCATCTTTGGCCTCTATCCCTCTCCATCCCCAAGACACCATATATGACATCCATGCCTAAACTTTGCTAGTTCATTGGGAAGACTGACTTCTCTCAACTTCGCTATAGGCTCCAAAGAAAATCAGGGGGTCTAGTCTTCTTTCCCCTGTTCCTGAGCCCTGGAATATCACATTCATGCTCCCCACTTATCTTTACTCTGTATCCTACCCATGCCAGGCCCAGAGCCAGAGCCAGCCTACAGAGTGTTTGGGTCCCAGACTTTAGAATAACAGCCCATGCTTGGTGAACTGCCCAGTACTGTGCCAATAAATGCTTCTCATGTATTATCTCATTTAATCCTCCTCTCATTCCCACAGGTAATGTACCACTTAGGGTGTATTTGGCTATAGGTATAAGAAAACCCTGGCTGAAACAACTTTAAACATAAGGACTTTCTATTATCTAACATAAATGACGTCCAGAGGTACGGTGGCTCCAGGCGAAATACGATTTGCTCAGTTACAACATTGAGGTCCCAAGTTCTTTCTCTGCTTTCTTCCTCATCAGCAGGGTACTACTGGTGGTTTCTCTTATTGTCCAAAAGATGGCTTCCGGGGCCAGTTGGTGTCACAGACCTCCTTGATCACATCTAACAGGAGAGCAAATGAGGTGGGAACTCTCCACCCAACTGTGAAATATAAATCCTTTCCTGACACCTGATTACACTGATTAGACACCTGATTAGATCACATGCTCATTCCTGAATCTGGTAGCAGTCACTATGTATATGCCCTGACTGGCTTCAGCCAATCAGAACTCCTCCTTTGAAACTAGGGAGGAGAATCCTACAAAACTATAACTGTTAGAAGAAAGTTAATGAATGGATGTGTGTGTGTGTGTGTGTGTGTGTATGTGTGTATCACCTGTATAGTTATAGGTAGTTACTATTAGTTGAGAGAAATAATGCACTGAGAAATCATTAAATTGCCAAAGATCACAAAGCTATTTAGTGGTAAAGATAAGATTTAAATGCATTTAGTCTCTCTCCATTGTTCAAGATATAAACTACATTAATACCTGAGCTGTGCCCACACAGCAATCTTTGGTGACTGAGATGTAGCAATCAAAATTACAGCCCTGAGAAGGCAGAATGTCAATTTGATAATTCCTGGTACGAAACTTAATTAAGGGAGACAATAGTGTCTTTTTGCACAAGTCTTTAATACACACAAAAATGTTTTTCCCCCTACTTTATGAGCCATTAATCTTTAAATTACCCATGAGAAAGTAAGCATGATATTTCCTTTGAGAATAGTATGCTTTGGTTTTCTTCCAGATTCATGAGTGTTTTTCTACCACGAACCTGATGTAATTTTTGTTTAATAACTGGCCAAAAACCATGAAATTAGAAAAAATCTTGCTGGCTTCAAAATATATTCCAAATTCAATCATTTCTTAGCACTTCCACCTTTCCACGGTAGTCCAAGACACCATCTTCTCTGACCTAGAGCACTACAATGGCCTCATTGTGAGATGCAGGCTGCCGGAGAAGGTTGAAGAGGAGGAGTTCAAGTGAGGACATGTTTAGCATGCCGTAATCTTGGGCAAAGAGATCCAAATGTGGATTTGGCACTCGGGAAAATTCTGGAATGAAGGTTCAAGAAGCCTTACTCATCAATTTATTCATGGCTTGAGGGACCTCAAGGATCCTTTGCTCCAGAACCCCCCACTTCCCAATCCCACCCTCTAATTTCTGACAGTCAAGGACAATGCTTGGGCACACGGTGTTCACCAGGCTTCCTGACTGCTACTTCCCCAGGCAGTTGGGGTGGGACCACTTTATCTCCATCTAAATACACTCCTCCACACATGTCCCTTCTCTCATTTGTCTGTTTCTTAAGATATGGGAAGTGGGGGAATCCTAGGGTTCCTAGGAGGGTCTTTTCTAGAAGCCCCTGTTTTCAATCCAGAGCAGTCTGACCAAGCTCTGGGTCTGAGAGAAGCTGTCTTTTCTGTTTGTATAAGAGCTGTCTTTTCTGTTTCATACTCTTTTACTGGGCTGTCTCCTGGAGGCAGCAAATGCAGTACATCATGGTTCTCCAAATCTCAGCACCAAACCTGCGCAGAAGCCCCTGCTCAGATAGATAAGCTTATTCAAAGAAAAGAGGACAGCACGCTAAAGGCTGTGCATATTGAGCCACTTATTTTATTGAATTTCTTTGCCCACAGAACACTTTCTTACATTTCAGAGACATGTCTCTCAGACCTGCCTGGAACATCTGAGGAAAGCATTAGGCTACAAATGCAAACTTCCATCAATGCCTTTCACCTCTTTCTCAACAACGGCTAAGCCAAAGCTTCCCCTATATCTCAACTGCCCAGGGAAGATCAGTCTTTTGTTACTGACAGTGAAATCTAATGGAATCCAGAAGAACCAAGCAACTGGTAAGTGGAAGTCTAGCAAAACCTGGAATGGACAGTCCTGCCCCTCCTGACTGGCAAAGACAGGGCCGTAGGGTAGAGCTGCATGCTGGGGGCCGCTGCCAGGTCGTCCTTGGTCAGTGCCTGGCTCCGGACACGCTGCAGCATCTTGAGGCCTGCAGAGAGTGTCCTAGTGAAGCAGAACTCACAACTGGGACCCCAGGGTAGGCCAGGATCCCCAAGGGAACGCTGAAGGGTGTTACCCCAGCCCAGGCCTTTCCAGGTGCTCCATCCACATCTTGCCACTTCCTTCCCATAACTCCCAGACTGCGCACCACAAAAATAGCTGTGTCTCCAGATCCCTGCTTCTCAAGGGCTCCAGGGAGCACCTGGATTCCCAGGCACCCAAGTGATTCTTGAAGAAACCAAGATGCCACACAACTCCATCATCAAGCTTTCAACCACCTACCTCGGGCCTGCTGGTCCAAATCCCAGCTCCCCATGCTCAAGATCATAAGGAACAGCCACTGCCTTGCCTCAGGTGGTCCGACTATGGTGACACGTGTCTGGCCTGTGGCCGTGAACCACCCCTCCAGTTGAATGAAGGTGTGGCTGTGCACCTCAATGCAATGAAGGTCTGTGTCAAGGCGGCCTGTGAGCCCAGGGAGAAGCACAGTAAACTACTAGCATAGGCGGGTGGGGGGAGGCAGAAAGTGGGAGGTCATTTGGAGATAGAGACCTGGGACAGATGGAAGGTTGGCAGCCTGGAAGAGAGGAGTAGGGGAAGGACATGGGCAAGGGCCACCCACCAAAGATGCGCTCCTCCTGGTCCTCTTCCATGTAAAATACCAATGGAAGGTAAAAGTTTTCAGGGTTAATCCACCATGGCTCCTCACTGCAAGTCCTTGTTTCCATGTCGTGATTCAGAATAGGGGAAAGCTCAATTGATCTGTCAAAAAAAAAAAAAACTAGAAGATCAGGAAAGTACTGGGCCATGTGTGTCTAAATAACCCCATGTCTTGGACCACCTTAGGGAGGGGTGGCCTATCCCTATAGCATTTCTCAAAAAAATCCACTCCAAGCTTAATTCTTTCATATGAAATTGGATTATCTGATTAGTACTTGCCTCTCTGATGCTCAGGAATTCAAAATCATTTTCATTCTAATTTCAAAAGATTTTGGAGCAGGGCAACTGGCAGGGGTTGAGGGATGGAAGGTACTAGGGCAAGAAGGTCCTAAAATGGCCTCCAGGACTTGGACAGGAAATGGTTTAGTCTGTTCACACTGCTGTTACAAAATATCATAGACTGGGTGGCCTATAAACGAGCATTTATTTCTCATAGGTGAGAGAACTAAACAGAGGCTGCGAAGTCCAAGATCACAGCACCAGCAGATTTGGTATCTGGTGAGAGCTTCATGGTTCCTAGACAGCCTTCTTTTCAATGTGTCCTTATGTGGCCAAAGGAGCAAGCAAGCTCTCTGGGGACTCTTTCATAAGGACACTAATTATATTAATGAGGAGGAGCCCTTCCAAAGGCCTCACCTCCTGATACCATCACCAACATGTGAATTTTGGGGGTACACAAACATTCAGACCAGAGCAGTTACTGCCGGCCAACCAATGACTATACATGTGTAGCAAATAAAACTGAGCTTATTTAGTGTGTTGCATGGAGAGGAAACAACACAGGAATACAGAGCCTCTTCATTGATGGGGGTTGTGGGAAGCTTATCACAGCATTTGGTCGAGTGATTCTAAGGAGTGATTAGAGAAACACAGGCCAGTTTAGTAAAAATGGGGCAATTTGGTGGTTACCGTAGCAATTTTCATCTAGGAAGCAGGGAGATTATGGGTTTTGACTTCAGAGTGTCATTGTCACTATCTAATTTCAAACACAGTTATAGAGTGGTCTTTCTATGTCTTGTTCCACCACAATCACTAAGGTCTTGACTGGTTAAAATATTCTGCAAGAGATGTATTATGTTTGGTAGGGAACATTGGCATTTACCTGTCAGCTAGCAGCAGCATGCTCCTAAGTCTGGGTTTGTTTGGTTTTTTTATTCTCCTATCTCCCTTTTTGACCTAAAGTAAAGTCAACCCTTAGGACATTCATCTGCAGGGTTCAGATTCACAATATCATCAGAATCCATTGATCACAAGGTTATTTGGAGAACACCGTCTGCATCTGAACCACCGTGATTCTCTCATGTGCCTTCTGTTGCGAGATGAGTTATTGAATCACGTAAATTGACAATGAATGCACAGTAGCGTTTAAGCCTGAACAGGACACATGGATCAACTACAGTACAGGTAATTACCAGAAACAAAATGATTATTAATCTTATTACTACCCTGCAAAAGAAAGAGCCTAGATTCCAAAACCAGGCCATGAAATCAGGTTCCCAAATCCATCTGAATCTAGATGATCCTAGAGAGCCAGGTAGTCTTTTTTTTAACTTAACTACAAATTATTCTACCTGACCGATAGTATTTTAAGTAGGTGCTGCAGTATTTGCTATAAAACAAAGTTCTTAGGTAGCCAAGAAAGAGCTAAAGTCTGTATAATCATCCATAACCACCATGAAACTTTAAGCTAGTTTATTGGATCTCTTGAGCAGAGGTAGTGTCATTTATGACTTCTGCTAGGGTCAGAGACAAATTTTAGACCATCTTCTCTAATTGTATTCTTACTATTAGAATTGAAGCAGCCAGAGTATAGATGAAGAGAGAATCAGTTCTCTCTTTTGGAGCTTCCTGAATAGTCCATGTTTCCCTCATTTTAGGTTTCTGACTATCTTTTTCAGAGAAGCATAGTTTCCTGCAGGACTAGGTGTTTTAAATATTAGAAAGTCTTTAAAATTTACTCCATATACACAAGATAGTTAGTATAATAATCAGGTGAAAGCTTGATGTCCACATAAAGAGGAGTACATTAATATTGCACAAGCTGAATGGATAATACAAGTATCAGTGATCACAATGAAAGTGGAACAATTATCAGTCTCTTAATATTAAGCTTGAGTAGAGGCTGGGGAGTCACTGAAGAGAACAAATTTATATGGCAAGAATAGCCTCAATATTTGTTTCTACTCCCGTACGTGTGCTTCGTAAGTCAGCATAAGTATTTTGTTATTTGGGGTCAATGTCCAATTTTTATAGCAGTAAAGTTTAGAATTAATACTGTGAGGAAAATTCAAATTCCAGAAGGAACCAGTAGAAGAAAATTTACCTTTCAAAGTGTTGGAAAGAACAGCTATTAAATTTTTGTTAGTCAAATCAGGTAGAGGATAACAAATCCATTAATCTATTAGATTTAGAACAATAGCTACAGTCTGAGAAAAACACACGAGTTTTGCATTTCCTGAGGTAGCAGAGAAATACTACAGATGGTTAGAATAAAATGTGTAGATATGTGAAAGAACCGTGAAAATTTTTGGTTGACCTCTAGGGGGCACCAAAGTACAATGATAAGTACAGCAAAATGAAAAAGGAGGGCAGAGAGCAAAAATATCTATCTTGTTTTATTGTCTTGAGAGGAAGCTATCTACTTCATGTCATCATTGGCTTGATCTGAAGGTCTTGGTTCACTAGTCTTTCTCTAAAGAGCATTTACTTCTGGAGGATGCTTAAGAATCTTCAGTTTAGGGTTTTCCAATGAAGTCCTTTCTATCCAGGCCAAGGGTAGAGTTTTTCCAGATTTTTGGAAGTTTAGTCTCATTCAAAAGACTAAATTTCCATGTTTCCAATAAACATGGCTAATTAGGGGGATATTGCATATCCCTATAATAACAAAGCTGGATGTGTCAAATGAGTCCTTTGTAATACTTATAATTGTAAGCTTGCAATATGTCAGAGTACAGGCTCAAAATGAACTCCTAAAGGAATCTTCTGAATCCCAGGAGTTGATCTCATTGTCATCAAAGCTAATAGCAATTCTCAGAATATGGAAGTTCAAGAGTCTTGGAGGGTATTCTCAAGTTTAGTTTTAGAGTTCATTTTTTCTTTCTAGTTTTGGAGCTTTTTTTTTTTTTTTTGAGAAACAACCACAGCAGAAATGTGTGCCTCACATCACCAAAGAAATCAGCTGGAATTCCTTAGGTCCAGAATAACTTTCAAGCAATTTACCATTAGTATCTTGGCTAACCATCAGGAATGTCCTCGATCCATCCTGAAAATAAGCAAACAATGACCAGTACATAGTTATAAGCCCTCACTGGGGACAATCGCTTTGGTCTGTGCTACTTGTTCAGCATAGTGGTAAGTTAAGGAATTACCTCAGAGTTTTGGGTCATCTGACTTTAAATGAACTGGCACTTTTTTATTATGGCTACCCTTGTGAGAATAGCAAAACTTCTAAAAGTTCTTTAATTTCTTGCCATTTTTAGTGAGATTTCCACAAGAGG